TATTTAGAGGTAGAAGACTGCAGGTAAAATTTCCAAATTTCTGTCTTGGAGAACTATGCACTTTAACAATCAGAGGAATGAATCTTCAGTACCTACCATCATCAGGAATCAGTATTTATTGTATCTCTACTACAGATAGAGAGCACTGTGTGACTACAGGAAACACACACAGTCACACTCACATACACACACTCTCTCTTACACACACACACGTCCTCATATATATACTCACACACACTCACATACATTCATACCCAAAAACACACACTCACCCACAAACTCTCACACACTACACACATACATAGACAGTCACACACAGAGACTCAAATACACACTCACACGCATATTTACACACACTCTACACCACACACACACACACACACACACACACACACACACACACCACTTACACTCACACACACACAAGCATGCACATTTTCTTAAGAGTTTTACAACCTTATTAAAAAAAAACAACTGAACACAAAAATTGCGTACTATGTGATGCTGCTGATTGACAACAGGACCTGTGAGACTGTGGGCCCCGACATGGGCTTCTCTGCCTTCCTCTCAGCTGGGTTTTGAACATGTGGCCTGAGAGCCGAGAGAAGCCTGCTGCTTCAGTCTAATCACCCCTGGTATTTTCGGGCCTCCTTCAAACCTGGCTTTGGTGTGAAGGCTCGAGGAGGCATCACTGGAGACTCACCCCCCAGTTAAGCCTGTACTCAGCTCGTCTATCTGTCCGTCTGTCTCCTGACACTTACGGTCCTCACAACGTAATCCGTTATTCCCGTCTTCATGCTGTCATTTCAAATTCTGGATTATGAGTCTTTGTTTAAAGCAGCAGTTCTCAAACTGTGGGTTGTGACCCCTTCAGCAAGCCTCTATGCCCAAAAATATTTACATTATGATTACTAACAGTAGCCAAATTATATTTTAAAAATTGCAATGAAGATAATTTAATGATTGGGGTCACTACAATGTGAGGGACTGTACTAAAGGGTTGTAGAATTAGGGAGGGTGAAAAACATTGGTCTAGAGTATGTCTGTCTGTCTTATAAAAGTGGAATTATAAAATAAAAATACTTGTTAGTTTCTTCTAAATTCTCCTTTTAGTTTTCTGAACACATTCCAGTTTCTTTTATAAATAGTGGTGACAAGAATTGGACATAATATTTAATTATCTCAGAGAAAACATACCTAGGCTTTTCTTAGAAAAATATCCTCTGTTAATGGAATCTCGGTTCCTGTGGATTAATGTATTTAAAACAACATGCGGTTGATTGATATGATACCTAGACATTTCCACGCTGCAGTAAAGCTGTGTTTCTGTCACCGTAGTTTTAGGCAGCTGCTTTGAGACCCGTAATCATCATCGTTAAGTCTATCCCTTTAAATTTTATCTTGTTTTATATGGCTCAGTCTTCAACTTAAAAAAAAAAAATGATTCTGATCACTGCCTTGGATCCAAAGGGAACCTGAGGAGAAGAAATAGAAGAATAAAATCAGGCACAGCTGGAAATGAGATCAGAATTTGGTTAACATTCCTTGAAAGACACGAGTATTGCACGACAGCAAATCAACCATCTCTGGTCGCTGTGTCTGAGTTGTGGGTTTTCCTCATTAACAATCGTGTTTGGGCTTTGAGGAGGAGATGGTGATGCTGGACCATTGGTACTGAATGCATCTCAGCCTTTCCAGCACCTTATTACAATGGCCAACTGAAGCCTTTGTGGCTGTGGCTGCAAGCTGGGCACCTGGCCAGCTCTGCTCTGCTTCACTCTGGGTCCTAGATGATCCAAGAGAAGCTTTAAGTAAAGTCGAGCGTGGAGCAGCTTAAAAGGAGGGGGCAGCTTCTTGTTTTCTTTCCACCAAGACTCGAGGAGAGAGCTGAGAAGAATCAGCTTGCACGTAATCAAATGTATTTGAGAATTATGCTTCATTTTACATAATGCTTTCAGGTTTTATTTATGGCATTAAAATTTGTTTTGCTGAAAAACAGAGATTGATGAGGTCTAATAAAAACATGAGTCATGCCAGTTTTTCTTCGGTATGTGCTGATAAGCCCCAGCCATGTCCCTTCAGCCCTGCTGTTCTCAGGTGCATACTGTGAATGTATGGAAACATCTGCATTTTAGCCACAACTGCAAGGGGGGTTGATAGTTGCTCAGACTCTGGGAATTTCATTCTGTTGGCCCATTTATCCATTTCATTGCCATTCTCTGCCATGTGAAAATTATCCTAACTACGGGTGCTGGGAGACGGCTCAGTAGTTAGGAGAGCTCTGACTGCTCTTCTGAAGGACAGTCACAGAGGCACACAGCCATCTGTACCTCCAGGCTGGGGGACTCTAATGCCTTCTTCTGGCCTCTGCAGGCACCGGGAATGCAAGAGGTGCAGACAAACATCTACATACATAAAACGTTTTAAAAATATCATAGTATTCCATTGACAGGTAGGACAAGCATCCCTGTACATTCTTACTTCTAGAAATGTCTGACCTATGAATAGCCCTTTGTTTTTGTTTTGTTTTTGCATTTTATTTGTTTGTTTGTTTGATGGTTTTAGTGTCTTTTTAATCCTTTTGTTAAGTTCTGAGAATGGTATAACTAATGTTTTCATTATACACACACTGAATTTATAAAATGACTTGATGACAAATATAGCACTTTTTTAAAGTTTAATATTTGAATTATGCTTTAGAAATAAACAGTTTTGCAAGATTGATTCTTGAGCTGTCTGTGAGGGGAGCTTCTCCTCAGTCTTTCAGGGTTTCTCTGTGGGCAACGTCACGTAAATCAGCAAGCACGTGCTTCCCTTTCCCTTCCTACTCGTCTTTTCTTACATAACTGAATCAGCTGTCTGGGAAATTGATAGCTTTAAAGGTTGGGTGTAAATGACCTCATTGTCCTTGTCATTTATAGGACTCTGTGGGCTGCCATAACAAATGTCCACAGGCTGGGTGATTTATAAACAAGGGAGGTGTGTCTACCATGGTTTCTTGGGCTGGGAATCCAAATTTGGGGCCCATCATGGCCAGGTTCTGATGAACTTCTAACTTCTCTCGGTGTCCTCGCATGAAAAACAGCAGGAAAGTGTCCTCTGTTACATGAAGGTAATAATTTCACTCTCATGGGCTCCGTCCTCCTTGCTCAAATACACCTCCAAAATGTAATCTCTTAGGACCATCACACGAGGGACCAGCAGGGTAATTCATGAACTAGGGAGTGATAAGTTCAATCCACATTAATGCCTGCTATGTCTTTAAAAAGTATTTATTTTATGTGTTTATTATTTATACAGTATGCTGCCTGTGTGGATGCCTGCAGGCCCGAAGAGGGCACCATATGTCACTATAGATGGTTGTGAGCCACCATGTGGTTGCTGAGAATTGAACTGAGGACCTTTGGAAGAACAGCCAGTGCTCCTAACCTCTGAGCCATCTCCCCAGCCTCTGCTGTGTCTTAATATACTCCATCACGCTACTATAATGGACTACCTGGAGCTCAGCAATGTAGAAAGAAAAGTTTGTTTTGGGCTTGCAGTTCTAGAGGCTGGGAAATTTGAAGCTGAGGCCCAACATCTGCTCAGTTTCTGGTTCAGGCCACATGCTAACTCAACCCTGGGCAGAAAACAGACAGCAAGCAGGCATGTGTGAAGGAGGACTCAGGGGAAAGCTGACCTAAGACAGCCCACTCTTGTGATAGCTAGTTCAGTGTCATTCGAAGCACATTAGTGCTTTCACAGGAGCTGCTCCACACTCTTGTTCTCACTCCACTGCCGCATTACATTGAGGAATGAAGCTTCACTCTGAGTTTTCCTGAAAGAACATGACATTCAAGCCACCACAACTTAGTAAACAAGGAAAAAGTGGCTCTTGGATTAAAATGTCGAATATTGTGATATCTACAAAATCAGTTTCAATAGAAGGGAAGGGAAGTGTCCCTCTTTCCTAATTTGTGTAGTTTTAAATGTAATTCTGATTTCTCCTAAACAGAGAAACGTGAGGCTTTCTCTCAGCCAGTAATCAAGTCTGGTATCATATTTTACAGATTTCAATGCTTGACTGTTAACATGCCATGGCTTCTTCCCTCTGATTTTTTTCTTCCAACTAGGGAACAGCAGGCTTAAAGTAAGACACTGAGTGAATCTGTCAGAAATGACCCCCACTTCTGAATTGTTGTTTAAATGAATATAAAATTTCTGAGTGTCTACTCTGCCTCAACACATGGAAAACATTATTTTCTTCCTTATTATTATGATTTTTAATAGCTTACCGTCAATCAAAATCTTATTTCTCTGTTATTAATTCCATATTTCTGCCCTTTACTTTGTGAATCTGAGTTTTACTATAATATGTGTGTGGGCTTGTTATTTCATTCATCCTGTTCAGCATGTGGTGTGTTCTTTCACTATGAGTCTGTGTTTTGTTTTCTTTTGAGAAGTTTCCGGCTAACTCCCCTTAAAATATTACTTTCCTGACAACCTGTTAATTCTCTCCTTAGGCTAAAAATATTGTCGAGTGTGTGGTGGGACCTCTGTGTTCCCCCTTTATTTGTGCCCATTTTCTTACTCTTTAATATTTTGCTCTTGTCTTTACTGCATTCTCTGTATATTCACTGATACTATAACTGAATTCCCCTGGAGTATTTTTTAATATTGTTTTAGATGTATGTATTATATGTGCATACGTATTTTGGTTGCATGTAGGTATGTGTACTGTGTGTGTGCAGTGCCCGCAGGGGCCAGAAGGGGCATCAGACCTCCTGGACCTGGGGTTACAGGCCGCTGGTGAGTCCTGGGTGGATGCTGGGAAGTGATCTGGGTCCTCTGCAAGAGCAAGCAGCAGTCCTAACTGTTGCGCGTCTCTCCAGCTCCAGGGCGTTGCTTGGAGCAGAGATCGTCGCTATGCTTCGGGTTTTCCAGTCGCTGTGTCTAATGTTATTTCTCTTCACTTGCCATTGTGACAGCTTTTCACAGCTTGCGTTTCTGTCTTCCTTCAGCCAGTTGGGATCTGAAGTAGAGGAGATGCGAAAAAGGCAGCAATCACAAAATGAAGGAACGCCGGCTGTGTCCCAAGCACCTGGGAACCAAAGGCCCAACAACACCTGCTGCTTCTGCTGGTGCTGCTGCTGCAGTTGCTCCTGGTAGGTCGATACTGGACCCATTATGAGCATTTGTGACAAACCTCCGTCCCACGGAAGCCTGGCAGCCTGTTCTGTTTGCCTGCTGTGTGTGTAGGAATTACTGAAGACCGTCTCTGATATAAGACACACATCCCATAGGCAAAATTAACTCCCTCAGAGCCTACATTTAAAATGATAGTAAGGTAAAGAATGAAAAAGTACTATATGTCATGTTTTCTTCCATGCATTATTCTTATGGATATGGGTAAAAATAAGACTATAATTATAGGGCGGATTGTCAATAAGCAGCAGTGTCATGACGGCTCAAAAGCCAGGAATATCAAGGAAATACCCAATACTATTGCACATAGTGTTAAATGTACTGTTGTTGTTTTTTGTGTTTTGTTTTCGATTACATGCTTCCTCCTAGGGACTGGTCATTCAGATGCATAGCCAGGGCACCAGGATTCAGAGCAGTAGTGCCAGATATAGCAGTCTTGCCAACAAAGGCACATAGTGTGCCTGGAAGTCCAGACACTGAGCTTGGAAGGAAGATCAAATCAGTCTCCTAAAATCCCTGTAATCAGAGCCAAAGGGCCTGAATTTTGCTGCAGTTTAACACTGACAAGCTACAGGATAGCTGTTTGTTCTGTTTTTCCCCTCAAACTGTAATGAGAAAGACATAGTGAGAAAGCTGATCTCCAAGGTCCTGTCTTATGCTAAGTCTGCATGACTCAGGGCTCTTTCCAGGTCCAGATTCCCGTCATGTACCTAATGAGGCAATCGGTCAATTCAAAGCTTGTGACAGTCACGCAGATGAGATACCTCAAGGCTAGACTAGACTTACTAGGACTTTTCATTGAGCCTTACCATTGGGGGTCTTTTAAGACTCAATTTTTAAGCAGAATTTCCAGGGTACCAGTGGCTACTGGGTTTCCCTGGCCAATTTCAAAATGTGACCAAAGGGCCACGTGGCTGAGTCGTCTACTACGTGGCCTCTCCTGTTTTCCAGTGTCCACTGAGCTTGCTCTTCTCCTGTGGCCCAGCCTCATTGCTGCTGGGGCCGAGGATGGAGATTGTCCTCATAGTGTGTTGGTAGTTTCCCTTGGTGAGGAAAAAGCTGCAGCTGACCAAGAAAACTGCAGGCCTAGAAAGCCTCCAGATACTGTAGTCAGCAGGAAGGCTCAGCATGGTTCTTTTTTTATGAATGATGACTCTGTTAGGGAAAGTCACACACGATTAATTTACATCCAATTTCAGAGGAAGGAAAGAAAGTTCTAGGTGAGGTTGCCATCTCTGTCATGGTTATATAGGTTTTGTTTCTTGTCGCTCCTACAGAGACTATCGAGCACAAGTCTTAACCATGAAAGACTTAGTGGGACAGTAGGGGAGTTCTCAGGTCAGACTGCCAGAGATCAAACTGTGTTCGTATCTGTTACCAACAGCAAATTAGTTCATCTTTCTGGTCCTCACAAACCTTATCTGTCAAATAACTAACGTGAACCCATACCTCATAATGCTATGAAGTTAAATGAGATGATACGTGTGGTGCGCTGAGAGAAATGTGGCACACAGTGAGCGTTTAATGTGTGTAGCTTCCCGGGGAAAAGGGGAATTGCGTACAGGAATAATAACAACACATTCAGAGAGTGTAGTGCAAAATTAAAAAAACAGCATGTAGGGCCAGCGAGATGGCTCAGCAGGCCTGGAACCAACAGGGTGAAAGTAACCAAGCAACCCTGAAACGTAGCCTTCCGACGTCATGCTTCTACCGGAGCACACTCGTGTCTGCCCACACACACGGATGCTCATGTCTGCACCAGGAGTACATGCACACACACGCCATATCTACACACAACAACAGTGAAAGTTTAGAAGCAGCATGTAGAGGCAACACAGAAGTTATCTTAGGAAATAAAACTATTTTATGCTAGATTCTATATAAACATCGAAAATACAGTTATGCGGCATAAAAATTGTGCTTCTGTTTCTCATTCTCACTTTGTCACGCTCCTGAGATTGGTTATTATTTTAGTTACCTGGTAAAACTTGAGGTTTTGGGTTTTTTTTTTTTTTTACTTATTTTTATGTGTGTGGATATTTTGCCAGAATGTATGTGTGTTTATCATCTCTCACTAGTACCCAGAAAGAGCAGAAGAGGGCATCAGACCCCCAGAGACTGGGGTTCCAGATGGTTATGAGTTGTCGTGTGATTAGGCGCCAAACCCAGCTCACCTGGAAGAGCAGCCAGCGCCTTCACTACTGAGTCATCTCTCCAGACCCCAGTTCTTCACTGTTTTCAGAATTAAAACACTGTACTGAATGAAGTTCTTGGCTTTCACTCTGCTAGATGCCTAGTGAATACAAACATTTGTCGTTTCAACAACAGTTAGAACCATAACTAGGGTCATTTCTTCCTTTAGATAGCATTATGTGCTGGACCTAAACAAACCTGGATCATGCGGGCCCATCGCTCCCTGTGGCTCCTTGAGAACGCAGTGGGCAAGAGATAGATACTGCTGGTGCAGTTCTGGGGGTTGTTTTTGTGAGTGGTACTGTTTTCATTTTGTTTTGTTTTGTGCTATTATGTCAGTGTTTTGTTTGCATGTCTGTGCGCCACATGAACGCAGTATATGCAGAAACCAGAAGAAGGCATCAGATCCCCTTGACCCGGAGTTTAGATGGTGAATGGGGGTGCTGGGAACCAAACACGGTCCTCCAAAAAACATCCGGTGCTATTGGCTGCTGAGCCACCTCTCCAGCCCCATGACGTATCTATTAGTGTACTCCACCAGTAAGAAAGCACAATATAGTAAATACAAAAAAAAAAACAAAACCGATAACAACATAGTAATTGATTGGCAATTGTGTGGTACACGTGGCTACGTGTGCCGTGCACTCGTGGGACCTACAGGACAGGTGGTTGTCCACGGCAGTATCGTCACAGGTGAGTGAGTGGTGTGTTGCGCCACAACACAGCAGTGGTTATGTGGTCACCAAGAGGGGGATTTTTTTCCTTTCTGTTTTTTCACAATTTATTCATTACATATCCCAACTGAAGCCCCCTCCCTCAACTCTCCCAGTCCTACCCTCCCTCCCTCTTCCCCTCATCTCCTTGCCCTAGTCCGCTGAAAGGGGGAGTTCTCCAGTATTGCCATCTGCTCATAGCTTGATAAGTCTCATCAGGACTGCCTGGATCCTCTTCCTCTGTGGCCTGGCAAGGTTGCATCATCAGGGGCGAGTGATCAGAGAGCAGTCAACTGAGTTCATGAAAGAGGCAGCCCCTGATCCCATTACTTAGAGATCCACATGGACACTGAGCTGCCAATCAGCCACATCTGAGCAGGGGGTCTAGGTCCTCTCCATGCATGGTCCTCTGTTGGTGCATCAGTCTCTGTAGGACCCCTGGGCTCAGATCTTTTAGTTCTGTTGGTCTCCTTGTGGGGCTCCTGTCCCCTCCATGTCCCTGTAATCCTACCCCTCTCTTCCTCCATAAGACTCTCTGAGCTCTTCCCAAAGTTTGGCCCTGAGTCTCAATATCTGCTTGGATCCCCTGTTGGGTGAATCTTTTCAGAGAACCTTTTATAGTAGACTCCCATCCTGTTTCCTGTCTTCTACCACTTCTGGTATCTATCCTGATTGACATTCTGAATGAGATTTATGCTCATTTATAATCATGGACCACTGTTACCTATGACCTTTGACTGACTGAAACATGTTTATGTAGCATGTAACTACAGTCCATGAGACTTGATTCCATTGCCATATAGACATCTATGTGACTGTATGCATTCAGTAATCAAACAGTCCAACTCATTCATCATCATCAAATTGCCATAAAACACAGACTAAGGATCAAGAACAAAGCAGCTTTTAGAAGCTTCATCAGCCTTCAACACCTTTTTCGTGACAGTATTTTAGACACTTCCAAAGACAAGATGCCTTGCCTGGGTGCTCTGTTAGCTAGTCTGAATCTAGAGTCTAGTTGTCAAAAACTGTACTTTTCAGCAAGGGATAATGCTGGCCTTAAAATTATAATCTATACATGTACAAAGCATGTAAGACACATGGTAGGTAGTTTCTCTTTTATATGGAATTTTATTGTTTATATTTATTGTACACAGTAGTAGAGACCATGAAGGCACTTTTGTTCAAGTGTACCATGTACCTTGACCATATTCATCTCCTCACCTTCTCTTTCTCATATCTCCCCGCCTCTTCTGAAATTTATCCCTCCAGGTATCAGCAATTTGGTTTTCAGAAATCACAACAATTCAATTGCCTTGTACTGTGGCTTTTAACTGTAAAATTATTTACATAACTGCAGGTGAAACTATCCTTTACACATTAATTTTTTAGAATTTTATTATTTTTGCACATTGAGTTTAGGAAAGAAAATTGTAGGGGCCTTTTTTAGAGTGAGAAATTGGAAAGAAATGTTCTTTAAAATTTCTAGGCTAGGTCAAAGGAGCAGAACAAAAAGCACCGTGGAAAAATGTAATTTAGAGCCTAAAAAGCGTTAGGAATCAAAACATAAAACAACTGTCACCATGGACGGGGACCGTTGTCCTGTGGCTGGTTTCACTTCCTTTTAAGGAAATAAAGGGCTAAAAATAAATAAATTTCTATGTCTTAGAATAAATGTAAAGGCTTTGCTGTAGCTTCACATTATAGGCTTTTAAAATACTGTAGCACCCTTTCAAGCTGGCATTTCTCGCCATACCTCACTCACAGCCCGTCCCTCATTTTTTAATTTACCCTCCTTATGAAATCACCAGCATCTCGTTGTAGAAAAGGCTGTAGAGTGCGCACCTGCTGGCTATCCCTAAAGTCTCCTGGAAGTCTGGAGTGTGACCTACTTCTAATGACTACCATGAACTGGCTGTCACCTTGTCAAAGAGCCACTTCTGCCCTAACAAAGTCTCTTTCTTTTGTGTCATCATGGCCTCGATTTCAAGAAGAAATGACAAGAAAAAATATGTTTAGATCCTTTAACTGTCTTACAGACAAGCCATGAATGT